CTGCTGACTGGAAGCTAGCCAACTTTATTTCAGTCTACAACAAGGGCATGAGGGAATACCCAGGGAACTACAGACCTGTTAGTCTAACCTCAGTTTCTGGAAAAATTATGGAGACGATTATATGGGGTATTATTGAAAGGCATTTAAAGAATATTGCAATCATCAGGTACAGTCAATGTGGATTCACAAAGGGAAAGTCCTGTTTAACTAATGTGATAACCTTTTATGATAAGGTCACCCTTATTTCCAATAAAAAATACTAAGTGTTGCTTAGTATCTTGCCTTCACAATATGTTGTTTCTTCTGCATGAATGACAAGGATTTCAGTACAAGAATACTATTTAAATGATACTGACTTCTAAAAGCAACCAGCCTCTGCAGGTTGTATAAGTCCTCAAAATATGCCTAATAAGAGCACACATCACATTCTTAATCATTCCCGAGATGTCCTCTGTAACAAAGTAATTAAGAGTTCTACACAGAAGTCTCCAGTGGTCATCCTAAGAATTCGGCTCTTGAACTCTTCAAGCAAAGATTATTATTACCCCTGCCATACAGGTCTACCTGTACCAACACACTGGAAAGCACATAGCCAGTATTTAAATTTGTCTAATTTACTCTGGCACTAACCAAAGAAACATCAAAGCACAATCAGAGCCAGTAAGATAGGTGAGAAAAGAATAAATGAGCAAGCAAGATCCCAAGAACAATTTTCATCAGGAAATTATTAGTTCACTTGAAAGAAATGAAACTTAAGCAAAGGGGTGAAAAAATATCAGAAAAGAATGGAATCACTGTATTATTTGAAGTGGCAAAAATTAAGTTAAACTTATGATACCAGGTCTAGAAATACACAAAATAGTTCTAAACAATCTAAACTAAATTAGCAAGAGCTATTCACAGCAACTTTGAGCTCACTGTGGATCAAATTACCTGTCTTAGCCTACACTAACCTCTCTGATACCATGACTGTGTTGTTAAGCTAGATCACCTGAAGCCAGCTCAGGTACTGCTTAACACACTGCTAATGCTGGTTAAACACTGCAGACCATGCCTACTGAACAAGTATTATACAAAGTCTTCACAACAAATGTTTCACAGGTTCACCAAAAAATTCCCATATGTCCTGTGGTAGGGCACATGCAGATTGCATGTCCTGTATAATTTTTCATAACCAAGAATTCATGTATTCTCGTGTATTTAATAGAGCCCCAAAATAATTAATCCACAACTGTATTTGAACGGCCAACCTGCAGTCAAATCGGTTAATACAACAGATCTAAATCTCACTTGAAAAAAACATCTATGAAAGAACTGTTCGTGGTAAATGCAGCTGTCTTACAAAAATTCTACGAGTAACCCTATACTTAGCATATATATGCCAGCACTTGGAAACTGCAGGAATTTAGAGGGCTTACTCATATGAGTAATTCTTTACAATTCATTAAAAATACAAGGTTCTTAAAGTTTGTTACTACTTAAGGCATCCCAACATAATGGTAGAGTATGCTAAAATATTTAAGAATATACATTTATAGGTTTTATTTATAAAATACTTATTAAAATATTTATCTATGCATCTGGACAATAAAACATTTTACAAATAAATTTATTATAAAACAAAATTAACGTAAAATAGTGTTTAACAGGAATTAGGAACAGCAACCCTTCCAGCTCTTCTAACAATAACCTGCTAAAGCAAAGTGCTGTTTTGTTTTTTAATATTTTATGAGGGTAAAAACATTAATAAAACCAAACCACATCAGGCTGACATTTTTACTTTTGCAATACTTCACTGAAATGTATGAATGCAGCAAATATACAAAATATAAAATGAAAGGGGCAAAGAGAATGCTTACTTTCTCTAAATGCTTTACAGTAGCCAAGGAATGACAACAAAAAGAACAGGGCACACAGCAGGTCTGCTCTGCCAACAATCCCAGCAACCTTAAAAAAGAAGAAAAAAAAAATATTTTATTGTTAGAAAACCTGAGATAAATACAAAAACACATACACAAAGTGATTTATTTTTTTTTTTAAACCTGGTTTACTGGCTTAGCAATGCCCAGTTTTCTAAGCTACAACCTAATTTTGATTTGGTATTGCTTATTATCAACTTGGTAAAAGATTTGGCTTTAATTTATTAAAAACTCCTGCTTGACGAAATTAAGAAGGACCTCACTGAAAAAAATGTAGACTGCCTCACTCCATCTGTTTTATTGGCTCATATTGCCTTTCAGTAGAATTCTTAGCAAAAATCCAACAAAACTGGCAGCTCTGCTGAAACACAAATCCAGACTGTCCCACCAGTTGTCTCATATTGTGAGTGGAAGAGAAAAAGGAATGTAAAAAGATAAAATTAATCTTTATTTCATTTAAAGGCACTTGCTAATCCTCTCTTAGGAAAAGGGCATTTTTTGTCAGTCAAACATGATGGAACAAGCATTTCTAAATAACATCAGAGAAGAGAAGTGTAGAGGCTTGAAAGTAGCACTGAATCCACTGAAGAGACTCTCCCACTTTTCCAGCAGCTTCACTGGAGCACCATAAAAGGAGAAACTGTTGGACTCCTAAATTCAGACCATAAAAATTTTTTGATTTATCCAAAGCCATGCATCTAACTTCCCCACTTCTTTTTCTATCTTATAGAGGAATTAGAAGAATTAACTCAATAGCTGTGGAGTGCTTTGGAAAGTGAAGTGTCATTCTGTCTCATGAGCTGCTGTCAGTTAATGAGATAAAAGTAAAGGTGAACTGATACAATTTTGAAAGTAAATGCCAACACGTTACAGCCAAGAAATCAAGAGGCTAATACACATATGGTCTCAGATGACTCCAACAGTACAATGTTATCTCAAATTCAGGCCCAGGCCCATAGTCTTTGCTAACAAGGTAAAAAAAATAAATAAGAGTTTTAAATTAGCATCAGATACATTCTTGTTATTCTGATTAGCATCAGAATAAGCATTTTTAGAGAGAACTACACCATAAGGGTGTTCACTTGTAGGTAGAAAAATTTTAATGGCAGATGTTTTTCTTATATAGGTACTGAAAGCATTAAATTTTTCAAGATGTTTTACATGACAGTTTGTTTTGTGATGTATATACCAAAATCCAAAGCAGCAGACAGATTCCTCACAATTTTATGTCAAAATATGTCATCTCATTTAAAAACCAGAAGTCATGATACTTGAAACTCACAGCTTTAAAATCATGTTGAATGTTTTTTGAGGAGATGCTGACTGACATACACTTATGCTATAACCATAACAGTATCATGACTGATTCAGTGCAGCAAGATTTATTATTACCTGTGTAAATGGTCAGAGGCCTTTGTTCACTCCTGGATCTGAGAAGAGACATTGTATGTAAGCATGCTACCTTTTCCCCTCTCCCAGTGCTGGCACAAAGTGTATGCAAGTCTTCAAACCTTGCATATGCAAGGAGACCGCGTCACTTGTAATTTATTTGACATGACTATGGTCCTATTAACACTTGCCTGCTGATGTAAATGCTTTCAGAGTCAAATGGAATGAAAAAAATAATTCTGGATATTGATAAAGGAGTCAATAGTAGGTCTATCACAAAGTTAAGAGTCAAGTGAGATTCCTCTTTACATGTCAGAATGCCAAAAGCACTGAAGACTTGTTTTACTTCACTGACATCTAGAAGTGGTTTTGGAGAACAAATACAAGGGGCCATTCTGACACTAGCACCATGTGCTCTCTACAAAGAAGGAATTCTGCAGGTGAGCAAGTGCCAGAGAATGACTGGAAGGATGTTTTAGCCACACTGCCAAAAAAAGGTGCCAAATTACTAATACAGAACTTTGCACCATCTCTAGGCTTCCAGTACATACAAGGCCCCCAGTCAGCTGAGAGGCATAGCTTTCTGTAGCCTCTTCACCATCAATCACGTGCAAAGCAAATGAAAAAAGCCAAAACCACAGCATACTGTGAATAAGTGAAAAAGCAGTCCCACATACGTAGATTAAGGTGCACTGAAGAGTCAGTGTTCGTTATTAGCACAAAGATCAAAGTTAAAGTCAGTACTTTTTCAGTAGCTCAGTCCTTCCAAACTCAAATAAATAAATATATTCCTGCATTGTGATTATTTTATTTCATTTATTCATTATTACAAGATCAAGCAATCAGGGAATGCATCCAACAAGCCTGCTGGCAGAAGGCCATAAGATTTTCTTACCTATGAGTACAAAAGAGTTTTTTAAGAAAAACATCACCTCTTCACTAGAATTTCCACACAAGGACTTTGAGCTGTGGCCAGGTATTTTAATCAGTTGCTATGCATGTGGCATGTTTCTATTTTGCATCTTTACAGCTTCAACTTCCAACCACTGTTGCACTTTTGTCTGCACTATAAAAGGACTCACTAAATTTGCATTCCTCATGTAAATAATTACCGACTGTGATAAAAAAATAACCCTTTAATCTTCTCCTTCATATTAAAAATACAAACCCACGGAGTCTGATCTCTTATGACATGGGATGATTTCCAGTGCTTTAATCAGTCATAACTTTTCCGAGCTTTTTCCATTTTTCTGTGTCCTCCTTGCAACATGGATTCCAAACTGGGTGCATTACTCTAATACAGTCCCATACAGAGTCATATAATGCCCCTACTCCAGTTTTCTATCTCCTTGTTCTTTTATCAAAGCAAATGAAAATGAAAAGTCGTTATGCATTTGCATTCAGTTTATCCCCCGTGCTCCTTGGCAGCTCATGAGTCTCTATTAAGGAATTCTTAATCCAGTAACTAGAAAAACTCTCTAGTTTAGGGTTATCCTTCCTTAGTTATTGTACTTAAATGATTTATCTTCCTTAATAAGGTGTAGCTTTGTGGAATTACAAGCTTTTGGATGTGCTAACCATAATATTTGATTGTTCTCATAAGATGTGTGACAACAGAAGTGTTAAGAATATAGAAAAGCAATGTATAGAGTATAAGGCTATGTCACAATTAGTCAAGATGATCAAGAACGTCACTGGAACCAATTACTAAGTACTTACACATTCGGTGTGCACTGGATGTACAGCAAACAGCAAAGCAGCTAGAAGAGATGTCTTTGGAGCCAGGTTGAGCCTTCTTCCTTTATTACTGAATTGCAGTCCACCCAATAGTATTGAGAACACATCAACCATCAACACTGAGATAGTACAATGCAGTATTATATTGATGACATGGAAACCAACTGGGTAGAAGCCTCCAGCAAAAAGGTAATTAATTCTATATAGAAACAGAAACATTAAGACTAGGAATTACATAAATGGTTTTAGATATGCAAGAAAACACCTAAACAACATCATAGCAAGATATTAACACAGATACACACCAAAAAAAAAGCTGAAAAACATCAGCAGACTCCAGCACACATGGTATCAACACTTAGCCACCTGTCAGCTAGAAACAATGTCCTGATCTTTATTGAAAGGTATTCATATGGGACACCATATTCAGCGCATTATCTATCCTCCCTAAAGATATATGTTAATGCTATTAAGTTAATCATACCAATGGTTACTTAGAACTGACTTCTGGTTAGCAATGTAACTTCAGTGTTGTGATGCAGGGCTGTCCTTCAGACATACAACCCAGCCTACTGGGGGGATACCCTTTGGCTTAAAAGAAACTATGTACAGAAATAACCTGAGAAAATTATTTAAATTAAATCCACACAGAGAGGAAACTAATATACACTGAGACTATGATTTCTCCTGACATTCTAACTGAAAAGCATCCTAGAATTTGGACCAATGATGTGGAAACCGCCTGAATACAGTCAGTATCAACGCAGAAAGTAGTCAGTCAGCACATCTTAGTAACTCATTTGTGAGACTGAGAGAGAGGTTTCATACAAGTATTACAACCAGAAGAAAAGGTAAGTGAAAATTCAGTCTAAAACCCTATTCAAGAGAGGAACTCTGTGGTAAAATAGATAGTGAGAAGAAAAGGGAGAAACATCATGTCATTATCCATATGCTTCATCAATAGGTGACATGTACAGAAACTTAGTTTGGATAGGGGAATTTATATAGTTTATTTGGTCAGTCCACCTGGTTTAAGTGAAATCTATTAAAAAAACCCTAACTTATTAAATATGAGCGACATATAAAGTTCCTCAGGAAAATTAAGAAAACCAATCTCTTACTTGTGAAAATAGCATTTTATGGACCATCTCCACATGCTCATCTCTATTTTCAAATATGGTAATGACTGTCTCCCAGCTCACTCTTTAAACTAACCAGGATGTTACTAGAGATGGAATATACCAGAGACCTTGAAAAGAAAGGAGAGCCTGTGGTGTGTAATGAATGCACAGAGAGCTTTAAGAAGTTTAAGACTGATACATTGTACCCAATGGCCTGTTTTCCTTGATGAAAATGTGAAGCTAAACAGTGAAACCCACATGCTAAGTACTAACACTCATGCTGCACTTGAGTCAGTTTATGCTGGAATATGAGGACTAAAAGTGGGAGTACTTCTTCTGCAAGCCCTTTGTCCCTGGCTTAGACCAGACACAACTGCAGAACCAGTGCCAGGTCCCCATCCACAACACTGACTTGCATGGGGAAAACAGATGCTTAAGACTTAGTCCTCAAAGATTCTCTGCATTACTGTGCCCAGTTTCTATATGATCTGCTGCTTGCTTAAATCTCTGTGCAAAAAAAGCATGAGCTCAGAATCTACAGAAGTAATCCTCATAAACCTTTAGTTATTTGAGAAAACCAGTAAGTTATATACACAGACAGACATCTTTCTCACTAGGATTCTCAGACAAAAACACTCACTTGAGGTTAGAATATCAGGGGGAAGAGGTGGGAATGCTATTCAGCGACCTAGTGGCAAAAGGCCATAGTAGATTGATGCTATTTATAAATCATTTGACAGTTCACCAGGACTGCAGTGGAGAGAAACTACAATAGCAGCGTAAGTGGCAGCATGGCCAAGTGAAGGAAATGTACACCTCCTAGTTCTTTGATAATGTGACCTACATACTGAACCATACTGCCTCAAGTACCAAGGTTTGTAAGAGCGTAAGATGCAATTTCTGAAAGATACGTTGAAATATAAAATGTCAAAATAATGCATACTTCAGGAAAGAAGCAATTTGATTAAAAACTTGATATTAAGGTAGTGAACAGAAAAATCATATTCAGGAAAGGTATTCAGACTACCCTCCAGACAACTATACCTCTCCCCTTTTCTGTTGCCTCCTCCTTCAAATCAATTCAGCCAATATATGTTTAAAAAAAATTTAGTCCTGAAGCAAAAAGACAAGTCTCACCTGAAAGTTAGGACAGTTAGTGGTCGATATGACTTATGACTGGTATTGCTGCTGAGTTTGCTGCCCCAAAAGTCATGATGCCATAGGTCACCAAGAGGGGTCTCTGCCCTGAGGTCCTGAAAGAAAACATCATAAATTACCAGACTCTTTAAAAATTTCTCTTTTGTTCAAAGCAGTGAAGACACAGGCAAGTTCTAACTAATAAAAGCTCATGCTAACATGGACATAGCATGTGTTTTTTTGGCTCACTACTGTCATTCGACAAGGTACCCAAGTTTGCAATGAAGGTCACATCTTGCCTCTCATCACAAAGGGAAAGGAGCTTGGATTGTCTTAGTAGGCATAACTACTTTAAATGTATTAGAGCTATGCATATTCATATCAGTTGATAATCTGGCAAATAGCTGAGAATATGAAACACATTAAAAACACTTTGGTGTTGGTAAAAAGTCTTTGACTTTAGGTCTAGGTTACCTTGCGAAATTGCTGCAAACACCTCATTTTCTACCAGTGTCAGTAGCACAGCTACAAATGAAAGAATAAAGCAAGGAGACTAAAGATAGAAAACAAAAATGAGCTATTTCGATGCCTTTACCCTGCACAGGACACTATAGCTTTTTTTAAAATTCTTACTACATGAAGCTGAGAATCAAAATCTATATACTGCTCTAAAAGATTAATAGCAGAAGACAGAAAAGTAATGCATTATTTTAATTTAAGGTGGAGTAGGAAGACTATTAAAACAACCACTGCAAAGTCTACTCTTTCCTTTTACCTTAAAGCCATGCTGATAATAAATATATCCAAATAACCTAGACTATTGAATGGAAAACATACACTTTGGAGAGGAAAAAATAATGACTTTGGTAGGATCTGCCTCAGTTTTCCGTAAAGACAAGATGGGAAGCTCAAACTAATATATTCATCTTCTACTCACCCCTTTTCTCCTCCTTCCCTGGGGCAAATAACTAGCAATTTATGCTATAGCAAACATGCAGGTTAAACACACTTAAGACAGAACCTGAGAACAAAATTGTACTAGCAAATGAATAGCTTTCATACAAGTGCTGGTATTACATCTACAATAAACCATCTCACTTGCTTTTACAGTATCTTGAGCACTTCCTATGGTCTTCAGTACCTTCCATCTCACCCTTAGCATTTTTGGCCTGCCAAGGCAAGAGAGAACACTAGTCCTGAGGTACAGCCAAATGTCTGATCGATGCTGACCAGATGCTGGTAAACTGAACTTATTATAACTCATTATTTCTTGCTTTTTTAACACGTTTGTTCATCCACCCCCCAAAAAAACCCAAAACAAACAGGAAGAGATTAATTTCCATCACTTGATCAAACTTGGTCAGTATTAGACAATTGGTTAAAAAAAATAAAAAATAGGAAGGGGAAGTACACTCAGAATCCTAGGAAACTGTAAAATGAAGTGAAGCATTCTCTAATAGGTTAATCAATATGCAGAAAAGAGAGCAGGGCTAACACGGCAGTCTTTGAAATGTCCTGTACTGCAGCTGTCAATTAGGGCATTCTCAGGGAAAAATCTCAAATCAGTAGTCACAGGGGATCCTATTTGGGATTAAGAATTATCAAGGGGTGCAAAGTTTCCTCACTCTCTCACAGATGTTTCTATTGACAAGCAATAACTAGGAATTTCTTTCTTCTCCCAGGACTGCAATTTTGGCCTCAGGCACCTAAATCTCTGTTTCCATTTCTTGCTGGTATGTACAAGCCTTAAAGACCATAATTTGACTCTTAGAGCAGGAATTAGCAGCAGCCCACAAGATCAATACAGCTTGCTTTTCCAAGGAGCAAGCTGGGACTGGGTTATACACCAATATCTACTGAAGACTCTGCAGGGGATAACCTGTTGATACCTTCAGATTGTTTTTCCAACCAACAGCACTGCTCCTTAAGTACATTTGCCAAAGGAAGGGACTATGAAAGAGAGACTTTTTTTTTTTTAGTACTAAAATTTTGAGACAGATGGTCTTCAATAACCTGAGATGGGAAATGTATCTGAAATGTGCAAGGCTAAATTTCCCTTTCCGCTAAAATCAGTCTTCCTTTGTCTTCCTTAGGAGAAGCTGATTACATGGAATTACTTAGTGATTAGATTACACTTCCATATGACTTCAGAAATCTTCAGTCATGTATCTCGTCCTTGTATCCAAATTCTGCCAGAAAAAAAGTTTCTTATATTAAATTTCCTACTCAGCAGACTTACTCTAAAATAGGACTGGTTTGCTTCAAGAGAGACAGCTGTTTAAAAGTTACATGAGATTTTCTCTCTAAGAACCGAAAGTAAGTATCAAAGAATCTCTATTTGATTAGCAGCAGCTTACAGACAGCAGAGTTCAATACTTGAAGAAAGGTCAGTTTTGCTATATAAAGACTCATGGAAATGATGCATTGTGCCTGCAGCTTCTCCTAATCCAACTGTTTGTCTTGCCAAGTTGGTAAATAAATAACGACAAAAGTCACGGTTGTGTACCAGTTAAAATGCTGCTTAAAATGTCAAGAAAGCATCTGGAAAACAGCCTTGAAGCCCAATAAAATCTAAAAAGAGAATGTTCCATCATATGGTAGGCATGGGGTCAACTGACAGTGTATCCTTCTGTAAAAAAATAAATATAACAAGACCAGGCTGATGGTGGGAGCTGGTAAATTAATAAAAAGGTCATTGTGTGGGTACTCAAGAAAATACCAGTATAGTAATGCTCAGTAAATCTACAAAATTACTTCACCTGCTGCCCCTCCTATTCATTAGGAATAAAACACACTATACCTTCTTTAATTAACTGTGCCTTTGCTAGATGCTGTCCCTCCCCATTAAACTGGGAACTCAATGTATTTTTCTTGTGGATTTTTTATTTCCATATATTCATATGACCCTCATATTAAAATTATATTATCATAAAAATCTCATTTAATCTCCTGGTAATGACAGAAGATTTTGATGTACAAAATACAACAAGCCTTACAGTTTTTCAAACATGCAGACTAGGTATTAATTAATCTATTTCAGCAGGTGGTTGAATTTCTTAGCATTGCCAACAGCTATAGTCCTGGTACAAGTTGTTGTGTTGCATAGATAAATTGAAACATTTTCAAAGTAAAAACTGAAAGAAATGGGGAAAGACTACAGGTCTGGAAATTACACATGTACAAAACAATCTGCCTTGTTTTAACATCAGTCTTTAGTTCAGTCTTTCAGGAAGCTGAAATATAATAATTGTGCCCCAAATAGAACTTTGCAGAACGAAACACTGCCAGGAACTGTGTAATTTAAAATACAACGATGCTTAAAAAAAAAATATAAAAAACTCCAACACTGTAGGTTCTTGATTTGTATATAGCATTTTCTAAGAAGCTTTGAGATTTATTTGTAATTTGGCAGATTATTCCCCCCCATACACCTATAACTCAAGGTACAATGACTTACACAAGCACAATATAAATTTACCTAAGGAAACAGTAATTCTGTGGGATTCTAAAAGGCACATTGTGATAAGTTGTCTATAAATCCTGTGCAAGGCAAAAAAAACGTGAGTTGTCTTCTTCTACCAAAATGAATTATCCTTCCTGTATCCCTATGGTTTTAGGGAAACAGAACCAACAAATGAGGGTGATTCTTTTTACTTTATGATTTTCTTTCCAAACATTTAACATGTACCTTCCAGAACAGCATATGAGCTGATGAATAATACCAATACCGACCTGTAAGCACAGGCTCAATAACTGCTGTGTGTGGTTCTTTGGAGTGTCTCATCAACTGAAGGCACTCAACTCCTCAGAGTTAAAAGAATCTCAGCTAGAGGTTTATTTGAGTCACATGTTCATCTCTAATATTCAGTTTTTAAAATAGAGCACAAAAACACTCTGCCTATATTTCAAAAAATTATTGTTGTCACCCAAGCAGTGAGTGGGAGAGGAGCACAGGAAGATTTCCTTGCTTTTGTCACATTTTAATGGTGTGAACTACAGCTGGAGAACCCCTGCACCCTACAATCGCTCAGTGATGCATTACATATCTTGCAACTAGAGTCAATTTATTCCTTGGATTTACTCATCTGTCACCCTGAGAAGATAATGAAAAAAATCTCCTGTTAACATCAATGGGTATTAGAAAAGTCTACTGCATACTCTCACTGACTTAGAAGTGAGCATCAAATTAGATTCATAAGCAGTCTTGATGTACAGGTACCCTGTGAATAAGTGTTACTAAACAACATATCCAAATTAGATCATGATTTTTAGATGACAAGCAGACAGAGTCTATTTGGTATGGCATAAAAAAGAGATCCCTTCCCAGATACCAATATTTCTTAAGCAGAGCATCTCACTTGTGAAAGAATGAAAGGGGACACATTCTGAGAAGGAAAAAAAAAAAAAAAGCAGCTATTTAATTTGTTCACTCTTTTGTTTACGCATTAGAACCCAAGTCATGTTATTCAAATAGCTTTCGGAATAAGAGTTTGTTAAGCATACTTATGCTTCTAGCTTTTCAATAGAGCACTGCTGCACAGCTTGTTTGTCAACCTTAAATAAGGCTTATATAAAAAAGCCCCAAAGTAAAACAAAGCAGAAAAGTGAAGTTCAAAAAGAGGAATATCAGAAAGGAGCTCTTTACTAGAATGATTACTTAGGGCCTAATTTGATCAACTGCTGTCATTATTTCTTTTCCTCTTTCCATTTATGTTAAAGGGCAGAATCAGAAAGGAGACAGACAAACCTTATTATTGATGATGGCTTCAGAATCATCAAAGACAAAATCTCCATCATAGCTGTTAGCAAAACAGATGAAAGAAATAAATGCCACAAGCATTTTAGCCCAGTATGATGGAAGGAGGAACCATGACACATCATGGTCCAGATTATGTTCTGTTTGTGCCATTCTGTGAAATGCTTGTTCCAAGTTGAGAGCTTCAGCATTATGTTGGTTGCAAATCTGAAAGAAATACAAACAAATGCATAGTTACAGTTGCATTTCACTAAAAAAGAGTTTTAAAATTGAGAGTTGGGTTAAAGGAGGAGAATGAAGTTTCATACAACCTAACATTTTTATCTCAGAGCATTTAATAATTGCTGGAACATTTCAGAACATAATTTTGTACTTCAAGTGTGGAAGAAGGTACCATTTCTCATGGTCAGAGCATAGTGACAAAGCCAAGAATTTCTTAGATTTTCAGTTAAAGCTTTGGCAGAGGTAAATTCTAAAATGTTGAGCAAATCACTGTTTTTCTGTAGTTAGCCATTTATTTCAAGTATAACAAAGAGGAGCATCACAGGGGCTGTGGAGCATTTACAAAGTTCTTAAGAGAATAATAAGCACTGTGATTTCCTTCTGAGTGTGAAAAACAATAATCAGTTGCAGAAAGACCTCAACTTTCTCCTGTTAATTGAATTCTGGGATCTAGTCTTACATATAGCCCATATGGGGAACTCATACAAGCATCACTGGTAGATGTGTACAGATAGCAGTTAATGGACTAGGCCCTAAATGTCAAGAATTCAAACGATGAGGCAAGACTCATACAGTTAAGACCAAAGTAGTTCTCACTAGCTCACTCTGCACCCACAAGTACAGTATAGCCTAAATTCCACTGCTCATGGACTTGTGAGGTCGCTGAGGTAGATGAAAAGGACCATGCAATCCAACAGCACTGAGCAATATATCAGTGTGGAGGTACTAAGGCTGGAAGTTTACTCATGAGTGACCTTTACTTGGAAAGGTCTCTTCTGATGCTCCAAAGTCAGCCTTCTGCCTTAACAGCTATTCTGTCTCTGTTTTTCTGGTCCTCTAAAATTATTGTGAGCAGTCTTATTATCAGGTGCTGCTATAAATAGCAGGGGGAGGAGGTTACAAAGGGAAAACTACCGTAAAAGCAAGGCAGAATATAACATTTTAATTGTAAGCCCCAAGAACAACAGACACATTTAGCAGACAAGCTTCACAATTTCTAGGGAAAAAAAAAAGTTGAGCTTATTAACTGTCTTTTTATGTATTTGCTTTTTAAAATTCAGCTGTTGTATCCCTGTAAACATTACATTTAACGTCTTCACACAATCTAGGAAAAAAGCTCTAGTCATTTGCCTTCCTGAACAGGCTTGGCCATTAGAGCCGCCAAGGCAATTGCTCTCTAGCTTTCTGCTTGCAACGCAAAGTTCCAGTCTCCACATATTCCCCATCTCCGCACACACACGTGCACACAGACGGTACCCCCTGTCACAGCAGGGCCCTTTCTCGCTTTGGGGACTAGGTAGCAGTGCTCCCAAATTCAGACTGAAGTCAGTAACGTGGAGCTGTGCAACCTGAGAGAGCACGGAGCTGCTTAGCAGAGCAAAGCAGAACAGCCACTTGAAAATCAAAAGCCTTTTCGCAAAAGTAATTCACCCTTACGCGCTCAGTTTGACGAAGACAAAGGCTAAAAGCCAGACCGGGAACGCGAGGGAAGCGTATTGCTTTCCCCCTAACACCCGAGGCGCAGCATCCGTGCCCAATATTTAATCCACTCAAAATTCGCGTTGCCCAGAAAGTTTCTCCGATTACGCTCGCTCTATTTACCCGAGGCACAGCTGCTGCCAGTCCCCTCCCCGCGGCCCCGGAGGGCAGGCCAGCC